TAAAGAGCTACATATGCTTTTCTTTAAACTTGCCGAAAAGGAGATTCTGCTGGTGAAAATCTGTTGCGAGACTGAAAAGTGTGTTTGCCCAGAGGGTTTTTCAGAATGGGGGGTTATAATTATTTGAACTCAGATCTTCTCAACTAGTGAAGTTCAGACAGATGTAATACAGAGAAGTCTGTTCAGGAGACACATTAAAGCCAGCTCTGTGAAGCAACTGAACTGGCTGCGATGTCACTTTTCATAGAAGGGAAATCTTAACAAATCTCTGCACTTCTATTATTCATTTTTTTCTTCCATAAAGCAGCTGTGATGGATTTCAATGCCAAATCATTATTTATGATAAAGTAGCACCTGACAGCCCCACGTGTGTCTGGGCCTTTGTGGTACTTGGCATCCAGTAGAAAAGGTGAGTCTGTAGCTTAAAAGGATGTGAGGAAACAAGGGGGGGGAAGAAGCAAAGCCAGAGAGTGACTTGTCTGAGAACAACTGGCCAGTCATCGTGACCATGAGACTGTACTACCTTTTGGCTTCATTTTTATTTTGTCTATTTTATATTTCTTTTTATTACTTGGATTTTGTATTTCTTATTTATTTGTGGGTTTGTATCTATTTTACATTGTTTGCATTTAGCATCACTTTCTCCTTCACTGGTGCAGCTGTCTTACAGGTGAGAAAGGCAGTGGTAAATGAATATTAATTTGTACTTTTCTTCACCAAAACAAAGTAGACCCTGTGCAAGTAGAGACCTATGCAAGTGCCCTCATCTCAGGCACCGAGGGGGTCAGCATGTATGTGAAGTCTGTGTCTGTTTGATCTTGTAGGTGCTGCACAGACAGCAGTCCCAGCCTGCGAAGGAGAATTCCCCACCTAGAGAAGAGGCTCCTCCTCCACCTGCTGAGGACAGTTGTGCCAAAAAGCCAAGATCCCGTACCAAGATCTCCTTGGAAGCTCTTGGTATCCTTCAAAGCTTTATCCACGATGTGGGTCTCTACCCTGATCAGGAAGCCATCCACACCCTCTCTGCTCAGCTGGATCTCCCCAAACACACCATTATCAAATTCTTCCAGAACCAACGTTACCATGTAAAGCACCACGGGAAGCTAAAAGAGCATTTGGGAACGGTGGTTGACGTGGCAGAGTACAAGGATGAGGAGCTGCTGACGGAGTCGGAGGAGAACGACAGTGAGGAGGGCTCTGAGGAAATGTACAAAGTGGAGCCTGAGGAGGAGAACCCCGACAAAAGCAAGGCAGCTCCAGCGGACATCGACCAGAGATAATGTGAGACAGGAGTGCAGAAAGCAATACATTGATCCAAGGATTTTCTGGTTTTGTTTCTATTTTTTTTTCTCTTTTTACTTTTTGTTTGTTCCTGTTGCGCATGATCCATGTGCAAACCGAATGAATTCAGCATTGCCCGATCAGACAGCGCCTTGACACAGACACTCGAGTGTTACATTTCCTACATTTGACTGAAGTAATCATTGTAATCACATAGGATTATGCCTTCATTAATCTTGCACTTATGAAAGGGACATCTAGCAAGTAAATGGGAAGAAAAAGTCCTATGAAATCAATGAAGGAAAATTTACAACTCTGTGTGTATATATATATATTTACATAAAATATATATATATTAAAATTGCATGGGACGGAACTTTGCAACCCAAAAGTATAGACTATGAAATGAGTTCTTTAAAGATGAGGCTTGTTTATGTATTAAAACCACTTCACAATGAGTTGCTTTGGCTTTTGATAAACTGCCACCTGCTCTCAGGGTGTGGTGACTATTTTTGAATTCCTATTTATTTTCTATGTTTATCCCTGATTTCTTTTTTTTTTTTCATTGTTATATGGCTTCCTATCTGGCAACTTGATGGGTAATTTTTGAGGTATGTATTTAAAGATGTAAATCAACACTGCCAAAAAAAAGAAAAAGAGGAAAAAAAAAGAGAGAAAATGGAAAAACAAATCAGGGCACCTTAAAAAGAAAACTAGTAAGTTAAAGTACTTTGAACACAATGCACACTTAAAAGGATACAGCATGTTCCACTCTCCAGACAGTCCTTTCCATAGTGAACAGATGAATTTTCATGGGATTCAGAATGACTAAACCTGAAATTCAGTGCATAGCAGACTTGTCTGTTAACGAGGTCTTTATCGAAAGAGAAGAAAGATAACATGTTGAGATTTGATGTACGGAATTCATACTATGAACCACATTTTACTGTGGATTTTATTTACCTGTTCTCTGTTTCAGATCTTAAAATGTATGAGCTTCCTTCTTGTTGTTGCTTTTTGTTTATACTGAGGTGAAACACACTCACACAAGTGTAAAGTTACATCAGGACACAAAACGCCACAATCCCAGCCACCCTGTCCTGGTAAATTGCTGACAGACCGAGGGTTTGTGCTGCTGACTTCCCGCTCGCCCTTCTCGCCAGCCCTCCCTCCCCGTGTGCCCAGTTTAGCCGGGCTTCCTCCGTGTCACGCGTTTTGTGCCAGTGAAATGAAGTGTTTTCAGCCGCGGGTCCCCCGCCTGCAGCCCACCCCAGGACTCGGTGCCCCGGGCTCCCTGCTACAGGGGGCCCTTTGCACCCATCCACCTCCTGCCGAAGGGTTTTGCAGCAGCCTAGCTGGCAGCTATGTTACATAAAGCAGAGCTAATACCGACTGACTCTTCAGTGGCATGAGCACTAAAGCTGCAGTCTCCTATAGCATCCACCAGTTCTGAGGCATCATGTCGAAAGAGACACCAAGTAGCATTTCGTTTCCACTCCTGTGCAATGATTTCCGAGACAAGACCTCACCTTTGCTACTCGTGCAGCTGGATTGATTTCAGACGCCTGTTCAAACTGCAGTCATAATCGCACCAACAAGGCTTTGGGGTTTTTTCCTTTCTTTTTTCATATGGGCTTTTTGTGTAACCTTGACAAAGACCTCATGCAATATCACTTTGAAAGTTACTTTTCTGTTTACTACACCAGGCAATGTAATATAACTGTTAATACTATTTATATATTTGAAAGGTATAAAAGGTAGGAGTTAAAAATGAAAACCGAACCTCTACGTGTAGATATTTCCTCAGAACAGACAATATACAGGGAGAAGACGTTGCAATACAAGCTAATTCTAGCTGATCAGTAACCTCTGGAGTTTTTACGGATTTTTTCAGAACTAATGTTTGAAACATATGAGTATCTCTGCATAAATTTCATATAACTTTGCAAAATGATGGTGGGTTGCTTACTTAATGCCCCTTTTGCTCTTCATCCTTTATTTCTGTAGTATGCTGCAGCTTTAATCAGAATTTCGATGGTTGCTGCTTTATGTTTCTCTCAGAGCTACTCTTTCAAAACTGTCGTCTTATCCTGTAGCTGAAATCACTCCATACATTTGAAAGGAAACTGAATTTTGCCACACTCCGTAAGGCTGTTCATCCGATGATGGCATCAACATTTGGTATCTTTTACACTTCAACCAAAAATTTTATTAGGTATTTTTTCAATGCTGAGTCTTGCCTTTTTATTTTTAATTTCACTGCCAATTTTGCAGTGGTTCTAAGTGAATCTGTGGGCATTTTAGCCTGTGGTCTTGCCAGAACTTTGCGAATTACAATGCATATATGTCTATTTATTCAATATCCATCATATAATATCTATTTGGAGAAAGAAACTTTTCTTGTAGTGCCTCTTAACAAAGCACAATTTTCCGCCTTTTTTTGTGAAATAAAAAGTAAAAAAAGAAAAAAACAAATTGTGTTTTATTGCGGTATCAACAATGTGAATAAGGATTAACATATTGTAAATGTTCTTTTTTCCATGTAAATCAACTTTATCTTTGTTATCACTAAGTGATAATTAATTTTTAACTTATGTGCATTGTTAGGCTGTTAGAATTTTTTGGTTGTTGAAATAAAAGGCATTCAATAAATATGACTTAATTTGTCAAGTAATTTACTGGGCCTTTTTTCTTTTCTGCTGAATCCAAGTGGAAGAAGGTCTGCAAAATGAAGGGGCTGTACCTGCATATCAACAAATAAATTAATAGGTGTTACTGTAAACCTGCAGGAGCCCCCTGGGGTCAGCACAGCTGACCTGTTGTGTCACTGGCTGTGGACACGTGTGTTCACAGGCAGTCTCCGAAGGGATGAGGAGGAGGGAGTGGGTGCCGTCAGCCCTTCGGAGAACACACTCAAAACTCACACATGGAGATCCGCTTCCAGCCTGCTGTCTTCTTTTGCTGGATTTTTTTCCTGTTTATAATTAAAAAGCCACAAATGACTGCGTGTCAGGAAACTTTTGGAGCACACATGTCCATGGTTAATGGACATAATAAAAGGCTTTATTATATTTATAGCAGGGCATCCTACTGAGTGTCTAGAGGAATGCCGGAAGGATTGATGTATCTGAGAAATGTGTGAAATGATTTGGGGGAGAATACAGATAAATGGAAAAAATTGCTCAAAATTCTTAAGCTAACAAAGTGGTGAGTGCCTGGATTCAATCCTAGCTGACAGATCGTATACCGCACATCAGACTTGAGTTGTCTAGGAATTGAGGTAGAGCAGTTTTTAAAAGCATTTATTGTTTTTTTCTCTAGTTCCTATTCAGTAGTTCTTTTTGTGGCTTATTTGCATCCTTGAGTAAAAAACACATCTTCGGATATCCAGCCACCTGCTTGTCACTTGAATATAATCCGAGACCAAGTGAAAACAAGTGTCTTTCTGACTGCTCAGGGAATACCTGAACAGCCAGTGTGGGCACCCCCAAGCTGGGCACGGCAGTGTTTGGTTGACTGCTGTTCAGTGGGTGCACAGCTGCTCTCCCTGCACTGACCTCTGAGGGGGCCCTGGGCTGCCTGTGCCCCTGCTGAGGGGGCTGGTGCAGGCAAATAGAACAAACCATCTCCAGGCCAGAGGTGCAGCCTTAGTGTCAGGAAAGGGCTGTAACTCACAACGGGTTGCTGAGCTGCTGTGACTCACAATGTGCTGTAACTCGCAACAGCCTGGTGCTAGTGAGCTGCTTCTGCTCTCAACAGCAGGCACAGTCCCGATGCGTGAGGCAGGCAGGCCAGGCTGGGGCTCCACGGTCTCTCTCAGAGGGCACGAACTGGACTTTGATCCTGCACAGGGCAGATGCTGTGAAGATGCTGATGGTGCTGGATTGGGTGTCCTTTGCTGCCTGCCAGTGGGACAAGAAACAAAAGGAGAAACAGCTCTCACTTCACTGATAGTTTTATACATGCACTCTGTGTGTGTGTGTATAGCTAAACAATATCTAGGGAAAAACACACACATATTTTAATTGGGGGGGGGGGGAAATCCTATAAACATACGGGTTCTTCTTCCAAACCATAAAAAAATATCATTTAGTAGCTGCTATAGCAGAAATATTTCTATCAATGCTTCTACTCCTCTATACTTTACATACTGCTGCTCCTATTTGTTGTTCATGTTCTAGTCATCCAGACATACGTATTTCCAATTTCAAACCCTCATGAGTGAAAAATAAACATTTTAAGATTAGTTTAAAATGGGTTTATGAACATACTGTCTATTGCCTAAAGTTCACTGTTGCTTAGATAAAAGTATCCACTCAATCCCTTCCCACTTACTTAGTAACCAATTATTTGCTCTGGACTAAATGGATTAGAATCCTTTATTGATGAAATTTTGTTTCCACCCTGAATCTGTTAAACAGGGAGGGATAAAAGGGATAAACATGGAGGGATGCATTTGACAGTGAGCAAATGGCATCTTAAAATCATAAACGAGTCATTACGAAAAATCTCCACTTACAATATAAAGTGCAGTGATTAATTAAAGATGCAGTTTTAACTTATTTATAGCCATTAAAAAATCATACTGGTTTTAACACAAAATAACACGAGCTAAGTCATCCAGGGGAGAGATGTGCTGGCAGCCTGAGACTTGGGGAGCAGGCAATGTGACAAAGCCAATAGGGAACAGCAAATGCAGGCCACCCTTGAAACCTTTGGAAAAGTTCACGGAAGCAAGGATGGAAGGAGGTGGCTCTGGCATCCCTGCCAAGATCCCCTTCTTGCTCATATACAGACAGTTCAGGAGTGTGAAAGCCCCATCTCACTGCGATGGCAGGAAACCTGTGTGCTCACTCCTTGGCTGCGGTGCAGGCGGTGGGGAGCTTGCCAGCCGGGGAGCGTGCTGCGGGTGAGTCAGCCCCACCTCAGGCAAAACGATGAGAGGGGTGAGGGAGAGACAGCAGCGCCTCGAGCGCAGATTCCTGCAGGCTTTCCCCTCCTTCCCAATTTTCGGTTGCTGATAGCCAAGTGCTTCTATTACTCTTGCTCGACTGGCGGGTGTGCGCCACTGGAGCGGGGAGGGGGGCGGAGAAGGCTGGTGGGAGGCAAGGCAAGGCTCAGACACCCCTCAAGCTCCTGAGCTGTGCTGCTGTTCCCCTGGCGGTCTGGCTGTGTGACAGGCTGCCCTTCTGCCGAGCAGCTCACCTCTGCCGGGGGTCCCATGCGCACACCAGGCACACCATGCCTCAGCCCTGGAATCGCGGCCTGGCCTGCAAGGCAGTGCATGTTTAAGGCGAGAGTCATCCCCGCTGTCCTGCACTCGTGTGTCAGGAGCTACATCCCGTTCCTCCTAAGAGGAGTGGCGTAATTTACCCTTCAGAGGGATCTGGTCTTGATTTGAAGACCTCAGGAGATGGAAAAATCTACTGTTGCCTTCAGTAGTTTGTTTGAATGGTGGTTTCTCCTCTGCTACATCTGTACCATAGTCTAAGGGGATTTGTTTGGCTTTCCCTTCCTGGTTTTGTGTTTTGTTAGGCTTTTTTCTTCTGAGTGAAAGTTCCAGGTACTGGAGGATGGGTTTTCCCTCTGAAGTAGCTGTTCTGATCTTGAATTGGGGCTGACGGTGGCCATTTCAAGGAAAAACCTGCTTTGGTTAGCGACAGAATTCCCCTCTGTACTGCCCTTGAGAGTGCACCAAGATAATGGCAGGAAGAGAAGCTTTTTAATAAAAAGGCTGTTTGCTGCTTGTGAACCTTGAAAATGCACAGGTACTACCTGTCACTCTTTAATTTACATCGTTTTATTCTGCATATCTGCAGAATACATACAGAACTGTAGCTTTTCATTACATCTCATACCTGGATCAGTATAGATAGGGCTCTTCAGCCTGAGAGATAGGTCAGGTGCCTTCAAACAGAAATCAGAGTTCTACTGAAGTAAAACAGATGGTTTTGCTCTGTAAGGTGGCTCTGAGATCCAGACACAGGAAAGATACCGGCAAGGGAAGATCAGAGAAGATAATTTCTCCTTTGTCTCATGCATTGATTTGGCACTCAAGCAAGAGTAATAGAGGGAGATTTTGTAGTTCTGGGGCAGTGTTTGGAAGTGTTTCGTGCCTCTGGCATTGCCAGGACCTGGCATGCGTCCCTCCTAGGAGTTTACCTGGCTGAGACCCAGGTCAGCTCCTTTGCTGATGAGAGCTGTAGCGAAGAGAGCAACAGGCAGGGAGAATAAACCTGATCACTGCTCACTACTGAAGTGAGACCAAGGATGAGTGCGCACAGTGGGCGGCTCTGAGGGCTCCATGCTGTAGGCATGGGGAGGTTTCCAGACCTGCTCTCATTACAGCACCAGGCTGAATGTGCCACTGGCCAATATTTCCTGAGTGACTCCAGGCACAACCGAGGGCTTTCTGAGGGACTGATTTCCTTCAGGGTGGAAAGTGCCGGCCAAACACAGAGTAACTGCACGTGAATGGAACAAAACCCTTCTGAGACAAGAAGAGCTACAGAAATATTATAGCCCCTGTCTGTGCCCCTGCAGAGGAAGACATCAGTCTTGGTCTTGTTGAGGTGTCACCAACAGGCCTGTGCCTGCCTGTTTCTTAACCCATGTTCTGCAGAGCTATAGAGCTGATGTTTGAATGGATGTGCTTCATGCTGTGGTAGGACTGTGAAGTACAAAGTTAACTGCTAGCATTGCCCTAAAGGGCAACTGCTCCCAGAAAAGCTATTTTCTAATGCAGTACTCATCTGTTTCATACCACACTCCTCTGTGCACTGTAGAGCTGTTAAGGTAGCATGAAACAGTGTTGGAGGTAATGTTGCGCCCTCCTCAACACCCAAAACACAGCTGAGCCATTTTGTCCACTGTGCTTTTCTTTTATACAGATGGAGGTGGGAGACAGAGGATGCTGGAGGAACACCATTCAAAGCTGCATAAGCTGGCATGGTGCTGAGAGCAACAGAGCTGCTCTGTCACATCCTCAGGAAGCCTGCTCCTGGGTTGCAATAACTGAACAACCTGAGCATGAGTGGCAGTGCCTAAGCAGCAACAACCACCACAACGTCCCTGAACACTTTCCTCACAAACTGACATGAGAGGTGACCCCTCCATGTCCCAAGTCTATTCAGATCAGTAGGAGCTCATGCCCTTGGCTTTGAGAGTAGAGGGACCAGCTCCTTCTTGCCCTAACAGACTGTTCCTTGCTCACACAGCCTTAGTCCCTCTTTACCATGTGATGAAAGTATATGCTACACTCCACACATTCTCAGCTATTTATGATCAGAGCTGGCCAGAAGAAGTCTTTGGTATGTATTACATCTCAGGGGAGGACAGACACAGCAGACTGACATGAAGGGGACTCTTGCAAGGACAGCGGAGTAGGACATGACCAGCAAATGCAATCCTTCACCAGGAGGTTCAGCCACCAGTTTCACAAGTTTCCTCTGTTTGTATTTAAAGGCTATTTTCCTCCTCTATTTGTATTTAAATTTGTATTATTCTGCTGTTGCAGAATATCATTTCCTTAATGGATCTGTTTTCACAGACCATTTAGCATCATTTGTTCTGTGTCAACATTGTCCTTTCATTTAATTTCCCCCACCCAGCGTCCCCTTCTGACCTCTGGCCACCCATCACCCAGTCCATTCACAGACAGCAATTACACCTCCTGCAAGCTGAGTGCCACCGCACCAAGCCAGCTCAGCCCTGTCCCATCACGGCCATCTGTGGCTGGCTGGTACTGAAATGAGAGGCAAGCCTGCTGTTTCCAGCACTTGCCCAGCTAGTGCAAGGCTCCAGGCCCTGAGTGTGCCGTCCTACCCGTCACCACAGTCACAGAATAGTTAGGGTTGGAAAGGACCTTAAGATCACCTAGTTCCAACCCCCTGCCACGGGCAGGGACACCTCACACTAAACCATGTCACCCAAGGCTCTGTCCTACCTGGCCTTGAACACCGCCAGTCCTCAGGCAACCGGTGGCTCCTCCCATCTCAGCAGGTCCACCCAGCTCTGGCACCGGGGCTGCCCACATGTTCCCACTCTTGCACCGGCGCCATTTAAAGACAACAGAAGGCTTCCCAGAGCCCCGGCTGGAGCAAGGGGAGAGCTGCCTGCAGCCTGATGGTCTGACACCTCATCTGGCCAAGCGCACCTGCACCCCACACCTTCCCCCATACTGCCCCTGTGTGGTGACAGACCACAGGCACAGCCAATCAGGAGCGGAGCTGCTGGTGCCCGAGCCAATGGGATGAGGAAGAGCCAGGGTGGGCAGAGCGAGCTTGCTTCTGAGGTGGTGTGGTGGTGTCTGTGGCGGCAGGCCCTGGTGCCCATACTGATTGTGTCAATCACCCATGGAGGCCATGCTGCTGGGACCCCCCAGCACCGCCACTGACAGGGCAGGTCCACCCTGCCCTGACCAGGTTTCCTGCCTGCGGAGCTGGGGATCCGGCCGGCACGAGGGCTCCAGGCCCCGTGTGGTGGTACAGACACAGCACTGTCCCACCAAGTGCCAGGACGGGGCTCCGGCAGAGTGCTTCAAAGGAGAAGCTCATCCCTAGAAGAAAAAGAAGTGCTTGAAGCTGCCCCAGTAATGAATGTCTGGAACACAATCCAGCACAAAGGCAAGCCATACTGCAGCTCTTAGAAAACACAAACGAGAAAACAAAAATGCCCCATGCAAGAAAGGTAATAAAAGACCACAAGTAACAGCTACCATGGAGAGAAGCACATGTGTTAATCACAACTGACTTGGAAGGTAACTGGAGTCATCAACTTTAAATGCACCGAGATGACAAAACATGGGTTGTGAGCATATAGGGCGCAAACCATGGTGCAATTATCTGGAACAAACCCCAGTGTAGTGCGGCTAGATAAACGGTGTCATTCAGTCCTACAAGGCCACGGGTGCTCACTCCCCTACCCAGGCTGCTGCAGTCACCCGTGCCCATGTGCCTGGGGCTGACGGTGTGTTCCACACTGGAAAGTGAGCAGCACCAAGGGTCTGAGGGAGGTGAGCCCACCTGCACCAGCCTGCAGAGACTGCAGCTTTGCCCTGGCTGGGCACAGTCCCCACCACAAAGAGGGAGGGGCTGTACGTGGCCCTCTTCCATTAAGAGTTTTACCTTTTACAGTCCCCTGAATGCTGAACTGGGACACGTGGTGCTGCCCCAAGGCAGCCCTGGAAATGAAAGACCTGGGAAGTCTTTCAGCTGCTGCAAACTCACAAGGCTTCAGGGGTTCCTTCAGGTCTCCCATCCGTGTAAAGCCACAGAGATTCGTCCTATGAGATTTTAGTGAGTGCTCTTGCTCCTCTGTCTGACTTACGCTGTCACCGTGTGCGGCCATGAAGCTATCTCAGCTTTCGACAAGACTCTCTGCCATTCCAGTTTCTTGTGTATTTTACATCAAAGGCTTTGGGATCTTTTCTTCTTTCTTGCCTTTACAAATATGTGCGTATCTGCTGGGTGAATGTTAGTTTCATAATTGATGGACATGGTCTTGGCAATCTCCTTTTTAAGAGCCATTCCTTGTCACATAAATATCATCTATCAGTGCCCGTTGTCTTTATAGCGATCTTGAACAAACAGTTTTATTTCCAATCAGGACATCACACATTGATCTAAACACTCATCTGTAATGGATCAATTTACATTAGGAGAGCACTATTGTAGCATCGCTGTTCATTATATTGAAAGAAGTATATGTTTAGTTACAGGCTAAAATCAATTAAACAGCCCTGTGCCTTTTGCTGTGAGAGAGTCAACAAGCCAGTCTGTCTTGGACAATTATCCAGCTACAGCTCCTTAAAAAAACCCTAACCCTTCCTCTTGAGCTCAGTTTCTCCTTTAGAGATGACTTCTGCAATGTTTTGCTTGCGCAGTCTGGTAAAACACTCTCAGCTAAAACGCACACAGGAGAAAGGAAGGCAGTCTTGCTGCTGCTGTTGTGGAGGAGGCTTTCTCTGGGCCACACAGAGTCCTGTATTCAAAAGGGAAACACACTTGCACAAGAAGGCTGCCCGACAACACGTGATGGTGTATGGGGGAGATGCTGAAAAATGTAGACAATGCTGTTTGTGTCTTCATGGGTGAGGTTGTTAGCTCCAAGTAGCCCTGATTTCAGGGAAGGAGAAACAGAGGAATTGGGAGGCAGGGAGGAATCTGTACATTGCTCTGCTGTTTCTTGCCTTACTGCAAGAAAGGAGACAGCAAAGAGTGCTGAAGGCTCTCTGACAAAGGGAATGTGATTTCAACTGATGTAGCTGCAGGGAGAGTAGGAACCTGCAATTTCAAAAGCAAAACACATAGGGGAACTACAGGGCAATGCAATGATGGGATTTGAGGAGCATATCTCTTGGGGTTCTGATGGATGCAGCAGTGGCAGATTACCTCAGCCTCAGCCAGAGGTCAGTGTGCTCAGTGGCAGAAGGGTCAGTGTACTTATGCCCTGTCTGCCATGCGCTGCCACGGCAGCAGGGCCAGTGAGCAGCTGTGCTCTGGTTACCATGCCTGGTTACCAACTGGCCCCTACTGGTCTCAGCCTGATGGAAGCAACTGGCTGAGCCCATGGGCTACAGTGAGCCCATGGCCATTGCAGCAGCACTGGAGAGGCCAGGCCAGGCTTGATACTGCCACACTAGGTGTGGCTTTTCTTTGTGCCAAACCTCTGATAAATAGGTAAAAGTTACCAGCAGGGGTAGGCTCTTACTTTGTGGTAAGAAACCCCTCATGACCTGCTGTACCTGTGCTGTAGATAATTTGTACAGCCTTCCTGTTTTATATGTGTATGTGTATGCATATGCATATATGGTGTTTTGGGTTGACACTTTGCTTACTCCTTCTCTACCATTCAGGCTCTTCCAGCCCTTGTCTTACTCTTTCATTACATGCACAAAACACTGCTGCTAATAATAATAATGAGAAGGAAGGAATAGCAGATATTACAAAGCTTATTAAGAAATTGATCTTTATTTTGCTCCTGAATAAAGAGGCAGACCTCAAAACTGCTGAAGCCATTCAGCTAATTGGTTATTGGCTCTCCTGAGTGATTATATCCACCCTGGTTCCACCAAGTTCAGCAGGTCTCATGCTGGTCAATTAGCCTTTGGCATTCAGAAAGGGAAATACTTCATTCGGGTTTTTTTCAGAGCCTGTTTGTGTAGCATAAGGTGGACTGCGCAGGAGAGATTCCCCATGGGCAGCAGGGGAACTTATTGGCACTTGTGGTCTGAATCCTGCCCTTGAACTAGCACCAAAGGGCATTTTTGCTTGCGCCCCAGCCTTCTGGAAAGGTGGATGATGTTTGGTGGAAGAATCTACCCCAGGGACTGCAGCGCAGGAGGACAGCCAAAGCAAGAAGGTTTTTGGAAGACCACAGTTATTTCCTTCAGCGTGACCTTCGCCCAGTGCATACTGGGCCCTGATTCTCCTGCAGGCTGAGCAATGCCAGCAGAGCCTGAATGTCAGCTTTTGTGCTGGCTGTGCGGATGGATGCCCTGTTGCTTGGTCACAGTTGGTCTGCACACTCACTAATCACCACTGCTCTGATTCCTGCAGCATTACCAAGGCTATGCACAGCTAAACAACTGATGCCATTTAGTGGCTTTTCCTACAGGGTGCTCAGGCCTGCCTTCACCACTATGGCTTGCCAAAGGGCTCCAACACTTGCATTGCTGTGATGCAGACCCTGTAATAATAGTTGGTTACATTCAGAGAATTCAGTTCAGATTTTAAAACCTCATCAAATAGTTAATGACTGACTATTTCAACACAGCAGTTCCTGCAAGACTTGGGAGAGAAGAGAGAGAGGGAGATGGAAAAGTTATTCATGTCCCATCTGTCTGGAATGCTTGTCCCCTCCCTCCCACCCACTGAGTCACTTCCTCCCTTTATATCTCACTTAAAATTTTTCCTTTCCCCTTTAGCTTATGATTAACAGGCACTCACCCTCTGCAAATTGTTTCTTTTCTTTTGATGCAATGTTAGTTAAGGTTCTATGGATAAACATAGTGTATTGTCTGGTAAATGCTTGTATATACATGCATATACAGGTATATACACATTACATACTACATATATGGCCATGTAAATGGGTATGTCAACCACTGCAGTATCCAGATGGTGATCCAGCCTTCCAAACTGAACCAAGGCACTAGTAATGTATTGCCATGGTTATTTTGTCCTACTGCCCAAAACACAGTGGAAAGGTCTGCAGGGAGAAGCACATTCCTTGAACTGTGAGGTAAAGGTGGTTTAGGGCAGCAGCTACCAGCCCAGAGCAGGGTTCACTCAGCTCCAAGATCTAACCTGGGTAGGGGTGTGGAATGGGGCCACCTGCTTAAATGCCTCAAGGTGTGTTTCGTGAGGGGGTTTAACTGGCTCAGCCTACTGCTTTCCTGCCAGGGTCAAGAGGGCTTTTTTTCAAGTAGCAGACAGTGAAGGAATCTGGAGGAGACTGTCATGTACAGTAAAAGAAAGAGGTGGTCTCGGGTAAGGAGCCTGTGGTTATGTGCTGACCTGGAAGAGTAAGCAGGGAAGAGTGGGCTAACTACAGCAATTTGATAGAGGAGCAGGAATGGCAGCAGAAGAGGAATGTGCTGGTGCGTTCATCCTGGAAGTAGTCAGGGTAAGGAGGAAGAGTCTGGATGCTCCCTGAGCAAGTGTGTGAGGTGGTGGTGCGTTTGTAAGCTGCGGAGTAGGTGAAGGTTAGGAAGGGAAAGCTTGAAACTCCTCGATTTGAGTTACCTGAAGTTTCCAAGTGAAGGGGAAGAATGTGAGGCCCTATGTTATGTACTGCAAAAACCTCGTATGTGTTCTACCCGCTTCAGCTTTTTTGCACATGGCTCAAAGGTGGAATGTTTCATGTACCTGGGACCTGTACTGTGGTGGTGTGGGAAAGTTTTGTTCTTCAGGGATGTTAAGTCAATGCTACTTGGGGAAAAGAAGTAAAAATTGTTTTAAAGCCTAACACTTGAGCAGTTATATGTGATTGGGGGAATTCCCGTCCCAGATGGCATCAGCATTGCTGTGTTCACCTACTAGATGCTGCTCTCTTTTGTAATCTTTTGTAACAAGATCCCACCAGCTTTTCTGTTTCCCATCAGTTGGTCATAAGCTGATGAGTGGTGCAATAACCTAGGTAGTATATCCACTCTGGGATGCATTGAAGGCTGGGGTACAGATGTGTTACAGAGCCTCCGCAAAGAGCCAGCTTGGCTCCTGATGGAGGCTTTAACTGTGTGCTGGATCTGCAGAGTCCTGGTCTGGCTCTGCAGAGCCTTACAGTTTCAGAACCTCACTGCAGGGGTGCCTGGGGTGCATCTGTGCTGGGCTGGCACTGATCCATTAGTGTATTTTTTTGGCTCTGACTCTGTCCAGAGAAAGTAGCTGTCCTGTTACCAAACCTGGAGCTGCGACTGGGCTCATGAGCCATGGCCAGGCCTCTGAATATTTGGTATCTGAGAAATGTTTTCATCTTGTATACATGCGTAACGGTGCAGGTGGGCTGAGACAGATCCAGGGACTGAGAGTGTGACTGTACTTGCTGTAAATTCACAAATCATGGACCTGTGTGCACTGAACTCCACCAGTTTCCCTTAAAAAGCAGGGCTGGGAAGTAATACATGGGTCTTGTGGTTTTATGACACCTAATAGGAGATCATAAAATGGCCATTGAATTTTATTGCATTTGTGGGAGAGCTGATGAGTCCAAGGATGGTGTGCTGTGTTACTGGAAGTCGAATAACCACTGGTGCTGATGTTGCTGAACAGCTTTTTGACGGGAGGTTTGTTAGTTTATTCTGCCATGCCTCGGCTCTGATGATTAGCTATGCATTCTAGCTAGCATTTAGAGGTTTCCTCTTCCAGCTTATTTTTTGGAAACAACTTAACACATATGCATGTGGGAACAGCATAGCTACCCATGTATAATGTGTGGGCAGCATGTATGGGCAACCTTTGGAAATAAGACAGTAGCCTCAGTTGGTTATTCCCCTGAGAGACGTTAATTATTAACTCTGAAAAGTAATTCTTCTACCTGTTCTACATAAACTTTCATAGCTATATGCAGCAGCAAGATATCTTTAGGTAGTGAATGGCTTGCAAAAAGCCAAGCTCTTTAATGTTACTGTGCAGATAGATTTGGCTGCTGGAGAACTACTTCAGCCTAAGATTTTAGTTCTGCCAGCTGGCAGAAGTGATCATATATGTAAAACCTTAAGCTGAGCCAGAAAAACCTGAGTTCAAATCTCTTGCCAGGGATTGTAGGATAGAATGATTAACCTGATTTTGTATTTTTGGATAACTATCAAGTGCCCGAATATTTATAGTAATAAATGTCTTCCATATGTGCTGATACTGCATCCATGGAGTGCAATAGCATGATACAGTTATTGTCTTACTTGAAGACACTAATTATAGCTAATCCTATAGGCACATGAATCATGAAACACTGGCCCAATTTCTGCCAGCTTCTGTGAGATGCATCTGATTTTGCTCATGTGAGCAATGCAGGTCAGCAGAGAGCTCAAGGCAAAATTCCAAGAGTGCTGAGGATCCTGAGTTCCCTTTTCAGAAGAGAGAGAGGCACTTGCTATTTAAGCATTTAAAGCTGCAGGTGGGCACTTTACAAGCTTGAACCTTCTAAGTCTTACTGGTAGGTGTCTGGTGTATCTTGAAGTGTCAAGATGCCACTGAAAATACAGTCTTGAACCTACAAGCCATTGTCATGTAGCCCTGTGATCCTCCAAGTGAAAACTGGCAGGGGGCACCTAAGTTTCTAAATTCATTTGTTGCCTGCTAGACTGGTGCAATAGCCATGCTTGGAGCAATGCTGGTGCCTGTTAAGCTGACATGGCACAATACTGAGGGTGCTCAGCTACTGCAGAGATAGAGCTTCTCCAGGGATGTGGTGGCTTACCAGGTCAAGCTCTTAAATACACCTTAATGCAATAAAACCTCTTCAGTTCATGACTGTAGAGCTACTCTCCAGTTGGTTAGAAAAAGTAACAGAGGAACTGTATGAAGGTTTTAATGTTGTAATAAGTTGGCTATAAAAACAGAGAAAGAGAGACTGAACCAATGTTCCAGTAGTTTTCCCTTGAAATAGAGGTAAGCCCGCCCAGACGTCTTCCTTTTAAATACTGACTACTGCATCTGTTTTAAACCAAAAATAATACCTTTTGATTGGAAATGTTTCAATAACATTATTTGTGCATTTTATTGAGGCAGAGGTTGCAATTATTAGAGTCACCAGGAATTTCAGACATTTAAACACAGCCTTTATTTCTCCAGAGTAAACCACATCCCTGTGCAATTATTCCTCTATCTAAATGCCTTCAAACCAAGTCGTAAACCAGATCTGACATTTTTTTTGCTGGTGGTCCCTCTTACAAATCAGCCCTTGAAAGGAACATGCGGGGCTAAGCAAACACCGAAGAGGTTGGACTGGTCCCTGGGGATGCTGAAGAAGGCAGAGCTGGTGCAGGATGCAGCGTGTAGTCCTGGGTAAATCCTGTGGCTCTGAGCTGTCAGTCTGGCCAGGTACTGTAGTCTGGGCCCCTCAGACTTTAAAAGAATAAGGAGAAGGGTTTGTCTGGTCATGGAAACTGCTCCTTTCAACCATGTGATCTCTTTATGGTTTTTCTTTCAGCTGGCTTCGCACCAGGAAGCAAACAATTGCATCTGTGGCAGAGAAGGGACTTGGCTCAGCAGCCAGAATGTCCCCCCAGCATGCTCTGAATGTTGCCCCCTAATCTTTTCAGCAAAGGTTTTTTGATGTTTAATTAAAAAACTGAGACTTCTAAAGGGCCTCTAAGGCCTGAATCCCCTTTGTTTTCTGGCATCTCTACATCCTGTATTGGTACCACAGGAGCTAGGCATTTGAGCACTTTCATTTTCAGTTTCTTGATGCTTCCAGCACAGCATAAATAAGAATTTGGATCTAAAAGTCCATTAAGATTTTGGCATCAATGAGAACAACAAACTTGAAGCCAAAGGAGGTGTCCCAGCTTTGGACAGAAGGAGGTGAGAGTTTGTTTAGGAGGCGACTTGAGACAGCAGTAGATAAAAGAGGAATCCTCCTCACCTGGCCAAGGAAGTTTTGGCATCTGCCTGTTGAAATATCTGGCAAATGCCTGCTGGCTTGGAGAGAACAGAATTAGGTTCATGTTGGAGTGCAAGGATGACAATCATGACTTCTGTCCTCTGCTGTCCGTATCATCTGGATGTCTTTTCCCACGCATACTCCGTAAGAAAAGATATTGAGAAACCTGAATGATGTGTCAGGATGCCAGAATGCTGTTGCCATTTTGCTCAGAGAGCCTTATTCCATACCACTTTGATGCTGGTTGTGTGCTTCTCCAGGGTCTGGGCTTTCATGACTTTATCTGAAGTGTGTGTCCTCTCCTTTCCCCCAGGGTAGCAGCATATTGACTGCTTTCCCCACAAACACCTGTAAAACCTCCACACTCCCAGGAGAAACTTTCTTATTTATTCTTCTGATGATGGTGAGCGTGCAGTAACGAAAGAGCAGAGCAAAATACAGAGTTCTTACTCTAGTAAAAAAAGGTGGCACTCAAGCTGTTGCTCATCTAAGGGCAAGCAGGTTCCTGGCAAGAGCATGTGTATACCAGTGCTTTATAGCAGGCCAGGTCTTGAGTGCACTGTCAATTAAGGGCAGCAATTCAAAGTGATTCACAGCAGATTACACCAGCTTGTCTCTTCATGGAGCACACTGGTCCTGAGCTTGCAGGTGCTGCACAGACTGCCAAGCCTGGAGCTAGCCTGCAGTTATTCTGTCAGCCTTGCTTAGATCTAATGCTTTATGACAACTGTCTACCTGTAATGTGATAATGGGCTCAAAACCTCTGCAAAATTGATAGGGTCTCTCGCAAAGAAGGAGACACTTCTAATGTGGCAGTCCTTATCCCTTTCTGAAAGTCCACGTGAACGGCAAATTTCTTTGCAGAACTGGGAGGCATGGTTCTGCAGCCCCTGACAAGGGGGCTGGTTGTGTTGGTGTCTGTGAGGCTGCTGGCCTCCTACTTTCCACCAGTGCAGAGGGAAACACCCTGTTGCATTTTCAAACACTCTAGATCTGTTGTAAACTCTTAAACCTAAGACACTGTTGGCTTCTACTTCTTAGGGCTTCTTGCGTACTCTGTCTGTACTTTTCATTTTCTGGATAAAATCATCTTCTAGCTTCAAGATGTTTCGTTTATACAATGAGTTGGTTATATTTAATTCCTAAAATGAGTCACTGTCTAGAATGATTAACAGGTAGTGTTCTAAAAGAAATTATGCTGAATATTGTGTAACACAGCCTGTACAGAAGGGACCAGATTCCTACCCACCTTATATTGGTGTGATCCAGGAATAGCACCACTGACTTTGTGTTAGATCAGTGTTAAGAGGGAGTTGGGCCTACAATATCCTGATGTAGTTTCAGACCCCCCATATTTGCTGTTCGGAGAAGTTGCAGCCATGGGAAGGCTCTCCCTTGCTATGGAGAGGCCTAGGTATGGTCCCTGTTCATAAACACAAGATAAAGCCCCTTTTCCCCGCACTCCCTAACACTATTGATGGTACAGTGTTATCACCATCTTGGCCTAACTCCTGGCACAGGGC